CTTCTCTCTCCCCCAGCCGCCGTTAATTTAAATAACCAAGGCGGAAAAACACTTGTGCGGTTTGACTCCGTGAGGACATTCCGGTGTGTCGCGGTGGCTGTCTGCACGAAGGAGGCCGTGAGTGTTCCAGTCCAGGGCGATCACGGCACCGCAGCACCACTGCAATCAAGTAGATTGTATTTCCAAAGGTTACTCCCGAAACAACACCTGGACTGTTCTTCGCTGTGTAGACAGAGGTGTGAGAAGAAAGACAAGGAAGAGAAAAACACCGACCGAAATAGCGCCAATGTAACGAAAATGCAGTCATGCGTTCCTTTTCTCTAGCCGCGGTGGCGGCGTCCCCACGGCTGCAATTACGTTGTCAAATAATTGGCTCATCGGTCTTGAGCGGGCCGCCTCGCCTCTCGGCCGGGCTGGGCCTCCGGTGAATGACTTGAGTGATTCGCCTTGAAAGGGCTGAAAGCCTCTGGCCGCGCCATGGTCGTCATGGGAACGTATGTTTATGACGGAGCGCCACCGTCAATGCGATCACAATAGAATGGGTGTCACACAATTAGTAAAGTTTTCATGATTGATAATATTAATGCTTTGCAATCGCCTTGTTATGGCTAGCCCGCCCCGGTTGTGCGCGCAGCGCAGCAGCCTCACTGTTAAAAAAGTTGAACGCATTACTGGTCATGCACTTGCCTTGTTCGTTGCTTACTTGACTACCACAGTGATTTGGTAGTCCTCATTGTATTTCTTATATGAAATAACCGCGGCCGTTCAGGTACGACCATTAAAGTGTATAACTGATGCGCAATGTATGTTTTGCTTAATAATGTTATTTTTTGTTTTTCTAACAGTCATGCCACTGGCGCCGCTTTGGCTGAGCTGGTCCACCGCAGTTTTGACAGCGGATACACTTGACTTCTCGCACACGCCCGGCACTGATGCATGGTCATTACTCACGGCTAAACCTGCCAATAACACGAGGTGAGTGAGTAAAGCACGGCTGTCGATAATTGGCGCTAGGCTCGTTATGCGGCATGGCGCCGTTGTTTGTTGACAATACAGGGTATCGATTCTCCTAAATGCCATGTTCCTCGACGTGGTCCCCCGTGCCCCGCGGGGGGACGCCGTGACACGGTCGTGTGCGACGACGGCGCCGGCTGCCTCCACGACAACCATGTCGCTCGCGGACCTCGTATGCCTGTTTGGGTGCAGGGGCAGCCCACCCCGACCTCAGTAGGCAGGGCCCCCGTCGTCCCCCAAGACACGAACTGTCTCCGTGACGGCCAAACTTTGGTTTTACAGCATGCATGGCGCACGGCACACTGCGGTGTGGCCCCGGGTAGCGGGGGAAGGGTGGAGGTTGTAGTTTGAGGGTTGGTCTGCGCGGGCGGGGAGCGAGGAGTGGGGCTGCAGCGTGCATGAGCAGACCGCAATTGACACTCGGATATAAACTTGTCAGAATCAGGGCCGGGTGGCCAGCAGTCCTGGGACCAACCGCCCTCTGCGCACCTGCGCCCCGTGCCATGTGTATAGCGATGCCTCTGCCGCTTCGCCCGTCTGCTCCCGCCTGCCACTGGTCTTTCAAGAAGTTAGTTGGGGCTTCCCCATTTCGACATGCAATCTGTCATGCAGTCCCCGATGGCTCTACTACAAGCAGCTCCGTGAGGGGCCTGCCCGAGGGCCTTGCTAACCCGATCCACCTGCACCGGGCTGCGGCGCGGGAAGAGAAAGAAAGGCAGGGGCAGAAGAGTGACGGGATCTCCGAACTAATTTTATTATGTCGAAGAAAATTGAGCTTAGTGTCCGGTACCGTATACATTCACTGGCTGGTCCATGGTTGTAACCACAAGTCTGAGTAATGAAGAAAATAAGGCCACACCTAGAAAAACGTACCTGGCCTAAAGCGGCTCAAACCTACGAAACGGTCAAAAGGAAAGGAAGTTGTCTCGCGGATCAGTGAATTTTAATACGTAGGTCTTTAGGGTACCGAGGTACCGAGGATTTTTCCTCATTTTGCGAGAATATTCCTCAAAATCTGAGGCGAGATTGGAGGACTCTTCCTCAAACATAGGAGTTCCTCAATAAAGTGTTCCCCTTTTCCTCAAAAAACGAGATATTGTTTCTACCGTGGATTGATTACTCATGACACTCATTGCTTAAGTGGATTTAATAAAACCCTCAAAAGTTCAAGGAAAGGGCGAGAGCAAGATAAATAATCCTTTTTTCCTCTTTTCTTCGTCCTTTCGATCCCCCACTCTTCCCCGCGCCCTTTTCTCGCACCTGGACGTGTGGCGGAGAAAGGCTCTGCCTACAGCGGGGATAGTTAGGAGAGCTAAGAACATGACCCTCCAACCAATGAATTACTGAACGCCGTTAATGATGATCGTCGCGGACTGGTTAATAAACGCACACTGCCGTGCCGATAATGGCTTGTTAGTGTTTCGATCTGTCAAACAGCGAAGCCATCGATGCAGGTGGTGATGCAGGAGGGAGATGATCTCGCCCCCCCTCCCCCATCTAAACACACAAAACTATAATCAAAATCGAAATGAAATTAATGAGTATACTAAATAAATTCTAAAGCATTCCGCTGAGAGTCGTGGAAACACGTGATACTGTGTGAATGACACATGGTAAAAAAAAATGTCCGGTTTTATGAGGTAAAAGGGAAAAATCTCCGGGAACTCCTTTGATTTGAGAAAAACTCCTCAGATTTTGAGGAATCTTCCCAAAATTGAGTAAAATATTAAATTTTTTGAAGTTACTTCCTCGAAATCTTATGAGTTTTCCTCTATCCAAAGAGTTCCTCAAAGTTCTCCTTTTTTCCTAGAAATAGGAGGCATTGGTTTTACCGTGCATATTTGTTCTTACTGCGGTTGTTGGAATTTCTTTGGAGTACTTGCTTCTTCCGTACACATCCTAAGGGCAAATCGGAGGGAACCTCCGTGACACACCTCACGGCGGAACTGTCGCGCACCGCAGGAGACCGCAGTGCTCGCGGTTTTCAGAACATGCTCGCGGCTCACGCCTGCCAAGCTTTCGCACCGCACCGGTCTAGTTGGGAAAGCAAAGGGTGTATATCTCTCTCTCGGTGAGCCGCGGCGTATTCTTTTCGTTTTTTCGCCCCGCCGTCAGTGTTATCGACAAAGCGTTTGTCTCTCTGACGCGCGCGGCGGTTGGTTTCTTGGCCGCGCTGATTCACATCAATTGCTCCAGTTTAGTTATGTAACGCGCTCGTTGCACTTATTGCAAATCGTGAGGCGGTATTTCCTCCGTATTTCGTGATGAAGCACTTCAGATGTTGCCGATGTATAAATTGAGTCCGCGTCGGCAGGGACCCCGCCAGCAGGGACTCCCGCGAGATAAGGTTGACGTTTTGGAATCACTCCATGAACCCGTACATTCTTTTTTTTTTTTTGTTTTACACCTCTGTTCATGACTGCGCCGCCGCGCCTCTTTCCTAAGTGCACCACTGGGCCGCCGGGCGTGGGGCCCAATTTGTGCGGCATGCGAACCAAATGCGTTTGGGAACCGACTTATTGAATGGCATGAATGCGGGGCCGTCATCTTTGATCGTGCGTCGTATCAGATCGATTGAACACACGTTCACTAGCGGCTTCCAAGTATAACGATGACACACGCGTCCCTCATTTGTCCGGAGCGGCCCGCGGCGGCACGGGCGGGCTGAGGGCACGCCCGCCCCCCTCAACCGCCGCCGGCTATGCTTCGTCGATAGGACCCGCGCCGAGCTGTCGCTGTATGCGTGGGAGTATGTGTGTGTTTTGTGGTACACATGCACACTAAACCCTAATGTATTGTGTTGTGCCTTAACACCTAAACAAGCTGCACACTCCCAGACCTTTACTGATTTTTATTTGAAACTTTAAAATTCTCGACCTAGGAATACACAAATACGTAGGAGGAACTCTTGAAAACATACAGACTCAGCTCATACAGCATTACACGATTTTTCCCCTTTACACACTAAACCCTTGTCCATTTTATTGTACATAAACGTGCAGAATTTTATTCAGCCATTATTATGCACAAATTGTATGCATTATTCTGTACAAATTGAATAATTAGAATTTAGTGTGTACTGCTTTGCAAAATGCTGTGATATAAGTTTTAAATTTTTTGCCGCTCTTCTGCAGTGCACCTGCTCTTCGTATCTCAACTTGACTCTTCCAGTGTCATTATTGGTTGCTTCATTAGCGCCCGTCCGTGCAGTTTATTCCCCTTACAGTCGGCTGGCCTGCGCGGCGGTTGCGGTTTGGACACGACTGGCGGGCGCTGCTGAACAAGGACAGCACTAGACCCATCTTTGTTTCCGGACGCATTCCGAGCAGTCGGCACGGCGGCGGCGTTGACCGCTCTGCTTTGCCCGGGCGTTCCCACGGAGCCCCCACCGCGCCCCTCCACTCCCCTCCACACCCCGCCCCGCCCCGCCACATCCAAGAGCGCGCAGCCGCCACACACATCGCCCACAACTAGCACGAGCATCGCGAGCCGCACGCCTGCCTATCAACCTGCAAAACGCAGGCCTTCTCTGATTACTCTATTGCTCACCGACCGAGCAATGGTGTGTGGAACAGTCACGGTACGTTGTAAGATGAGTCAGTAGTGTGCTTACCATTGTTTTAGTCAAATTTTTGTTTTATCTGCTTTTCTTGGAAAAGATACGATATGTCTAGGTTCATGCTGCGCGGAAGAGAGTAAGGCCCCGTGGGGTCACACATTTTTTGCTCATTTCTGCAAGTGGGTGTCATTAACTTTCTTTGATGAAATGCCGGGAACTTTTAATATCGAAGGCTCCGCGCTAATATTTTTTCGTGTGCCTGACCTGAACGCTGCAGGCGTTTTGCTATCGAAAATTATGCTTTGGCCCTGCAATGTCGGGCACGTGCGGTTATATGTTTTTGTCCGGATCCAAGGTGGGCCCGGGGTAGGGGTAAACTTCTTGGAGCAGGACAAGACGCTCATGCTGCGGCCGAAAGCTGACGTGACAAAAAGGCCTCACCTGATGTGGTTGGGGGCGGGCCGGGGGCGGGCCGGGGGCGGCACCGGCCGGCACGGCCCCCACGGCCTCCACATGTCTGACAAGCTGTGGCGGCCTGCCGCGCGGCCTCGCCCGACCCGCTGCGGGCCGCGTGTACCGAGTTTCATAGGTGGTTGCGCGCGGGCACCAGTTTTTGTTGCGGTTTGGCTTTAGGGGGCGCTGCCGCTCCTGCCCCGCCGCCGTCTCAGGAGTTTGGCGTGTGTGTGAGTGGAGGCACAACACATTAATTAGGGAGGGGCCATACCAGGTCGGACTAGGGTCAACGAACGCGAGAGTAACGCACAGCAACTGTAAAGTAACGCCAACAACCCACACTAGTTCAATCTTTAGAGAGAAACATAAAACTGACATTAGACCCAGACCACAGCCAATTTCGTTCCATCTCAAAAATTTCGCGCTGCAAGAAACCAGTACGAACATGTGAACATCGCAAAATGTCCCCCTCACACGGCACCCCATTAATATGGGCACCGAGAGGAGGTGGCGGAGGGCGGCGAAGGGACGACCGCCTCGCTAACTTCCTGCCCCTCCGGTCACATCCCACTGCGTGGCTGTGCGCGCGCGTGTGTATGTGTGTGGACGCAGGGGCCGAAGTGAGAGGTAGGGGGGGGGGGGGGGGTGTCTGCGGTCGCGGTGGGTGCCAGTAGCGACGCCGCCCCTCCCTCCCCCCGCACCGCCAAGTTCCATCAAAGGCCATCTTGAGAGGCGCGGGCAGGAAAGGCCGTGTACGGGGCAGAGGGGCGGCGGGGGGAAATGGGCAAGCACCAGCGACAATTCACCATTGCGCATGATGCATGCAGGCCCCCCTCCGCCTTGGGCCGCCGTCGCCATCCCTCACACGCACACACAAAGGCCCTTGCTGAGGGTTGTCTCAAGTCGGGGTACATATTCGGCCTAAGTAAACGTTTGCCGTCTTGGTGTG